CTCAAACTAAACTTTTCTAATAGGAATATTCTAAATGATACATTTCATTTTCAGTTTGAATGTTTTATAGTCATGAAATGATATATGCTCATTCTAGGAAACTTGGAAGTTGTGACTAGGAATTTGGAGTAAAATCATAAAAATCACTTTTAAAGCACAGAATCCAAATGAAACCAGTTTCATGTATGTATGTGTATATGTGTGTAGGGGGTTATTAGTTGCTTTTGTCAAGATATTTTAAAATTTTATTTAACATTAAATGTTGATATTTAGTATCAATATTTTACTGATTATTTCAGAATTTTTATCTTCTAGGTGCTCTGTGTGTGTGTGTGTGTGTGTGTGTGTTTGTGTGTTGATGTCACTAGGGAAGGAAAGTTGTCTGTCAAAATACATTATGATGTAAGTCTTGGTTGTTCACACCATCTCATGATGTGCTTTATAAAGCTAGCCTACATCATTTCATATTGGTCACATTAAAAAAACTTTAACCACTGCTTCTCAAATAACTTCCATTTCATTGGTTTCTGTTGTCTAAACATTTCCTGTGACTTTTATAGCAAGGTCAATTTTACCAATTTTCTGACCAGAACATGTAACTCTATTGCAACTGATAGAGGACAAAATTCAGTATTTCCTTAACACCCTGGTAAGGCTGTTAAAAACACAGAAAAACAAGCCTTTTCAACTTGACTTTTCTACCAGTCAGTTTCTAATGGCCCACTTGGCGGAAGCATGGGCCACATACAAGGAGGATACGTGAGTCCTAATGTGCAGGGCTGATTTCAGTGCAAAAGGGAAATGAAATTCAAACATCTGGGCAGAACATTTCAAGTGAAAATATTTCTTGATAAAGATCTAGTCTCTTGTTTTCTCCAAGAAACATGTTCTAGAGAAATTTCCTACATTGCCTAATCCTAAAGCTGCCTCCTACTTCAAATGAGAACTGTCCATGTGTCAGGTGGGCATCCCCATACAAGCATACTTCTGAGGAGTTGCTTCCAAACTCGAAGAACAAGAGCTGGAACTATCCAAATTCAGTCACAATGATACAAGGCAAAAAATTAGTCTTCAGAAAACTAACAAAAAGCCAGGCATGGTGGGGCACGCCTTTAATCCCAGCACTTTGGAGACAGAGGCAAGTGAATCTCTGTGAGATCAAGGCTAGCCCAGTCTTCATAGCAAGTTCCAGGTCAGCCTGGGCTACATAGTGAGATCCTGTCTCAAAAATATAAAACCCCCACCAAAATAAAAAAAAAATAAAAACCAAAAAAAAGGGGGGATACTATGAAAGAATGAAAGATTTGAGAGATTCTAGAAGTTGAAATGAGAGGATGGCTTGCTGGAATGATTTCTACTGTTCTTTGTACGGTTAAGGAAAGAGGAAGCCAATAGAAAGCCGCCGTTTGGCTGAATAAATTAGCGTCACTTAAGCAATGGATACTGGCTCTGGGTGGCGCTGGTTCAGGGGAGCCAAATGTTCTCGGATTTTCCCAACTCCACATTCAGTGATATCATGTTAGCTTGAAATCAACCATGTGCGGATATTTACATCATAGGGGTAGGCAAATGCAATACACCATGCCTTTTCTTCTCAGAGGGTGGGTTTATCATTACACCTCTGAAAAAAAAAATTACTGTCACAATACTTGGTGTGCACATAGCATGGACAAGCATGCAGGCGAGCAAGGAAGAAAGCAAGCAAGCCAAATGGAAGGGAAAGGAGGAGAAGGAGAAGGAAAAGACAAGACAGTGAAAGGAAGAGGGTATCAGGAGACTTCGTCAAATGACAGCTTAGAAATACTTTGTGGCTGATCTAAATGAATTAGTTGTGGCCAAGATCAGGGTCAAGGAACAATGGTAGATACCCAGAGCCAGAGAAATCCCAAGAAATTGTTTTTGCAATTCCTCTAGAACCCAGAGGCTCAAGGCTGTGAGGAGAGCTGACACCCTGCACTCACACCTCAGCTCCAGAAACACATATCAAAAGTCTGCACTGCTAACATAACAGGGCAGAGAGAGAGAGAGAGAGAGAGAGAGAGAGAGAGAGACTGACTATGAATGAATGAATATGCACATTATCAGAAACAGAATGGCAAGATCTATCTTTCCCATCACATTTACAGCTCTGTGACACTCACCACAATCAAGAAGCTGTCGTAATTCTGCAGGGTTACTGGAGCTCTGTGTTCTGTATAGAGTCGAACATTCCAGTCCTAGGACACAAAACAGACTGTGTATACAAAATACAGTTCCCTGGAGAACCTGTGAGCCTGCTGCCAGAGGGACATTCCAATTTCCACCTGGCATCTACTCTAGATGTGTACCAAATATTCTTGGAAGCCAACCGACCACTAATCTTATCTGGCATGTCAATGATTTTGGCAAAATCAGCAGGCCATTAAGAAGCAGGTTAATCATATTTATTAAATTACAGAGAATTTAATAATTCCCATACAATAACTACATGTTAGTCTAGAGTTAGAAATGATTGACCAAAATTACTTCCCTGGTAGAGAGAAATGCACAGCTAGTGTGTCTAGCACAGTGTCTGTTCATAGCAGATAGTAAGACACTGATATAATGAATGCCCCAGAGATACATATATATTATAACAGCCATGAAATAGGAGTCTAATAAACTAAGACCTTCCAGCAGTCTAATTACCTTTCTTCTCGATGGTTTCCAGGAGCTTGATAAGGAGAGGTGGGGCGATATCAGGAGGGGCAAACTGCTCAGCCAGATCAGGAAGGGTCAAAGCTGAAAATAAGCAAATTCCATCTTTAGATTCCAGGTGAGGCAGTCAGGTACATTATACCACAATGAAGAATACTTACATACAAGTGAGCCAATTATATTTGACAGCAGTAAACTCAGGTCTGAGCAAGAGAGTTCTATCCCTATACTCAGCTGCATACTTTAGGACCCTCAAGGACACACTTGATATTTCTCTCCTATAACACTCTCTGAATGTCCACTCAAAATCCCAGAATTCCTTGACAAATGGCTTCTGATGGCTATTCCTTTAGGGCATCCTTCCCAGGGCAGACCACCCTCCCTGGGGCATCTCAGAGTCCAGGCCACGTCTGAGCAGTAGACTCCAGGCTGGACTACAGCTTGGATACACAGAGAGAAGCAAGGGGATGCACCAGGGTATAGCTCCCTGTATCACCATGCTCTGGTGCAGTAAGTATTTAAGAGTGCAGTCTGAGGGGCCCGCAAAACCTGAAATCAAGTCAGGCCTCCAGATTATTAAGAAAGAATTGTTGCTCAGGCAGGAGAGACTAGAAAAAAAAATTTATTAGATTGTTAGCATGCTATCAACTAAAATATTTGGACTCACAGCAGTTGGGCCTTCTTTTGATCTCTTGCCCTCGGTTCTGCCAATGCCCAGGCATCACTGTACACCAACACAAATGACCACAGGTTGTCTGACATTATCAAATTAAGCCCCTGTGCAATTGTTCTCAAAACCTTTATTTGCTTATGCATATTTTAGGCCATTAGATTAAGAAATATACTTCTATAAACTGTCTTCATATTTTATCTGTATGTTCTATCAATTGTAATGATATAAAACATATTTCTAGACAACATTCATAAATAACTTTGTCTGACATTACATTTATAACCATATTGTTGCTCAAAGAAACCATTTTAAATAAAACTATTTTCTAAAATATGCCAGAAGAGGGCGCTAAATATATCCACCTCAAATTTCTGGAAACCCAAATAAACGCGAGCCTTTGTGAAAACATCTGTATATATAACCTGTCTGCCAATCATCTACAATGTAAGATGTTTATAGACCAACACTTGAACTGTTATATAGGAACAGATAGTTCATATAATCTGAGAAACATGAATAGTCCTAATTTGGTTTTAGAGGTTTTAATATAATTCTTTATTAGAAGCCATATATAATATTAAGCAAATTTCTAATTAAATCCGTGTTTAAGAATCAAGACTCAACATAAAATGGTAACAGATTTATTATATAAAAGTAGTGCTATTAAATTCTGACCTCAGAGAACTACTTATGATTTATGTAAGACATTTTGCAAACCCCAAACCCTCTCACCCGAAACCTTTGTAGATTCCAAGACCCTTGCAGATTCCATACACCTGATGATTTGCCACCTAACTCTACTGGCCACTGTAATCACCTGGGATGAAAGAGAAGAGCTAAATTATGAAGAAAAAACTCTATCATAGAACTGTCCAGTGAAGCTTTCTGTGATGACAGAACTGCCAGGATGGCTGTGCTCTTCAAAAAACCCTGGCAGCTGCAGTGTCTACTGGGCACCGAAAAGCCTCTGCAGAGTTCAGCAACTGAATATTTTATTTCAATTGATGTAGATTTAAGTAGCTATATGCAGGCAATGAACACAGTACTTAAGAGAGCAATCTGAGAGCCTGTGCAAAGGAAACTTCTATCAACGGTGCATGAAAGGTTCACTTTGCACTAACAGACCCCACAACAAAGCCATCTCCATCCAAGACAGGGCACCCCCATGGATGCACTCAAAGGCCTGCAAAGTTCACCAACTGGTCTTCTGGGTGACTGTCTTATGATAGCACCTTTTTTACTTCATAAAGGTAGACTAGATATGCAACTAACCACTGTGCAGAGGGCTGAGGGATGCAGAACTTCATCAAAACCAGAATGGCCAGGAACAGGAGAAGTAATCTGTTTGGAATTAGTAATAAGTTTGATTCCATGGGTAATTCCCCTGAAAAAGTCAGCATTGACATCTGAAAATCTTTAAATGTTAAAATGTGAACATATTTGAAAAGCACTTAAAATAATGTATTTTATTATTAAAGTTTGTAATTGTTTTAACTGAAAGCACTGTAAAACTTTAACAAAATACTAAGTTGGGTATAGGAGTATATACCCAAAATCCTAGCATTTAGGAGGCTGAGGCAGAAGCATCAAAGTTAAGCTAGCCTGGGCTACCTAGCAAGACCCTGTCTAGAATAAACACACATACACACATACACACACACACACACACACACACACACACACACAGAGCACACCATTTTATTTCCTTTGACAAAGTATAAGCCACTTCCTTTGGCCTTTGTAGATTTTCAGCTCATAACAGTATCCTCTCCTCACTTTCTACGCTGAACAAAATGAACGTCATCCTGTCCACACATGGAGGAGGAGGAGGATGACCGAAGGGGAACGAGGGAATGCGGAAGTTAGGGTTCAGTACAGTTTCCTTCCTTTGCCCTCGCAAACTAACAAGCCTCAATACAGTCCCAAAGGCAAAAGCTCAAGGTTAAGCAGTAAAATCACAAACACACACACCCACAACACACTCAATCCATCTACCATGCCAAATCCTCTTCCCTTTCCCTCATATGTAACACAAACATTTTTGATGGAAAACAAACAACCAAAAAAAAACCCAACACTGGCACTGAAATCAGAATTGCTTAATAAAGTTTATCTCATTCCAGAATTTTATCAACATGATCATTCCTGCAGGCAAAAGTTATGAAAGTTATGAAAGTTAAATTAAATGATAATTAAAGATTTCATCTAATTGTGATTGAATTATACACCCAACAGTTTTTGGGGTTTTTTGTCGTTGGTGGTGTATTTTTTTTTTTTTTGGTCTTTTTGAGACAGGGTCTCCCTGTAGCCCCAGCTGTCCTGGATTCACGATGGAGACCAGGCTTAGCCTCAAACTCACAGAGATCCGCCTGCCTCTGCCTCCTGAGTGCTGGGATTAAAGGCATGCACCACCACGCCGCCCCACAGTCTTTATATTGCTGGGTTGGCCAGTGCTTTTCACGTCAGCTGAAAACACTGAAGAAAGCAAAGCCTTCTTATTTTCCTTTGTCTTTCCTGAATTTTCTTGGCAAAGACACTTTAGTTTGTCCACAATTATCCTGAATGACAAAATATCTTTTGTGTTATTCATACTGGTGTCAGAGTTTCTGAAAATCATTGTGATGGTCACCAGAGAGCTGTAGGAACACTGGCCTATTCTGGAAATGCACACACTGGTTAATTCTTAAAAATACCACTATACACATTTAACAGTGTAAATTCTTCTTTTGTAATGTATGAACGAGTGTCCAACTAAATTTTTTAATACTGAAAATAACTTCTTGTTGAATTACAGCTGATCAAGATTTTGCAATAGGAACTCTAAAAGGCAAATTTTACAATACCACAAAAAAAAAATAAAAAAGACAATTCTAGGATTTCCTACCCCTAGTACTGTCTGACTCAGTACACTTCCTCTTAGAAATACTCAGACATAGGTAATACGGCAGAGTCCTACCCGAGAGGTTTGAAAGTTCCTATTACCTACTTGAACAACAGGATTATCACTACAGTTCTAAAAATTTATAAAACAATAATCCGACATACAAGTATTTATTTAATTCCATTAAGTATACAAGGTCTATATTTTTGTTGTTCAATTTCATTGTAAGATATTCCAGTAGGAAGCAAAAATTGCTGAGACTGACTAAGCTTGGTGAGTGGTTCTTTGACTAGCCCATGATACAGCATCAAATCATAGTCTGATAAAGCATAATGGTTCTAAAAATTAATTTTAAAACAAACATACAGGGTGGGGCTGTCAAGTAAAAGACAAATTAATAGCATGATATTATATACCAGTTTTATTCAATTTGACTTTTCAGAGAGATTTATAAATCTGAACAAGGAACTTCAGGTTCTGAGGCCTATCAGAGCACATGGTCTACGGTCTGGAGAGCCGTGTTCATTCATAGGCATCTGGGTACATGGCAGGTTCTTCTACACATCCAACCCCAGTTTCTCACTTAGCTAAATCATTTTTCATCAAAAGGCAGTGTTGTGCAAGGAGAAAGAAGCAGAGCTAAAAGAGCCGAATGGTCTGAGATGGCAAATCTGAGACATATTATTTCCAAAGAAAGGAGGCTCAAGTACCCTTCCACACTGACAAGAACACGGAAGGACAAGGAGACCCAGACGGTAGAAGGAATTTCTCATGCTACATTGGAAGCTGAATTTTCTATATACTCTATCTGCTCCCTCCCACCACTCCCATCCCCGGTGACAGCCAATCACACAGAACAGAAGAGAACCTTCTCTGCAAACTGAAACCGCTCCCAAACCACTAACATGGGCAGGTCTCAACACTCCTGGGTAGCAGTGGTATGTGGGAGATGGTGGCATTCTGTGCCCTAAATGGTGCCAGCTCTGCTACCAAGTGCAAGATGAAACCAGCACACAGCTGCACCTTTTGGAGACATTTTCCATTAAAAAATAATAAAGAAAAAAAGACATTTTAAAATTAGTGCCTGGCAGAGCTGAGTGGAAAGTTTAAGCTGAAACATGGGGACCCAGAGGCTGCCTAAGCCAAATATTTCACTGCTAATGGAAGCAGCTTGGAAGTGTGTGAAAAACTGCCGCTTACCTCAAACTGTAACACAAAATACACAGGAAGGAACATGTATATGCAAATGTGAACCAATATTAATTCAAAATGTTAAACTGTCTTCTGACTGCTGCTGAATCCAAGCTTTATTTCTGTCTGAAACAATCTCTCTCATGACTTGAAATGAAAAATGGTGGGCACAAATCAAACCAATTCCAAATCTTAAATAAACTTTGCAAGCACACTGGTACTTTCCACATAGAATAGTGAAAAACACTGGACTTGAAGCTTCTTAAATTCTGTGGGCTACAAACCACATCAAAAGACGGTGTGCTTTTGGGGCAAGACAATAACGCTCAAAAACAAACA